CAGAATTTATTTCACCAATTCACCCATGACCATCACCACAGTGTCCTGTGCTCCTCCCTTCCTCCCTCTAATCCCTCTCTCTCCTCCTCCCCTGCAGGATGTCTCTGGTTTATAATTGTCTGTTTTGGTTTGTTGTGTTTTCTATTGTTAATATTTTTCCCTTGATGAATTAATTGGTTCCCCTATATTCCTCCTATAAGTGAAACCATCTTATATTTTTCTTTTTCCTTCTGACTTATTTCACTAAGCATAATTCCTTCTAGCTCCATCCACATTGCTGCAAATGGAATGAGTTTATCATTTTTCATTGCTGAATAGTATTCATCATGTATATATACCACATCTTCTTGATCCAGTCATCTATTTTTGGGCATTTGGGTTGTTTTCAGGTTTTACCTATTGGAAACTGCTACAATAAACACAGGTGTACAGGTGTTCTTTTGAATCAATGTTTTTGTGTCCTTTGGATAGATCCCTAGGAGTGGAATTGCTGGGTCATATGGTAGGTCCATATTTAGTACACTGAAGAAACTTCATACACCTTTCCATAGTGGTTGGACCAGTTTGCACTCCCACCAGCAATGTAGGAGAGTTCCTTTTCACTGCATCCTCGCCAACATTTGTTGTTGCTTGTTTTTTTGATATGTGCCATTCTTACTATTGTAAGGTGGTATTTCAATGTGGTTTTGATTTTCATTTCCCTGATTATAAGGGATGTTGAACATTTTTTAATATGCCTGTTGGCCATTTGCATTTCCTCTTTGGAGAAGGTCTTCTAAGTTCTTTTACCCATTTCTTGACTGGATTGTTTACTTTAGAACCAGAAACTTTTAAAGTAAGAAAGAGAGATGAGATGGCAAGAGCATGATGTTGTGTTGTAGACAGAGTCCCCAACTATGACTTAAAATTTGCCATGTGCCACTTCCTCACTGTGTGGCCTTGGCATATTACTGAATTCTTTTTTTTTAAAGATTTATTTATTTATGCATACCAGAACTGGGGTACAGGCTTGAGGTATGGGGGGGTGAGAGGATTCACCAGAGACAGAGTGGGGAACAGAACAGGCAGATTGACTGAAAATCACTGCTGAGGGGAGCAGCGGGTAAGATCGCAGAGGTCTGCTGCTCCATGTGGGTTGCTCACTGGCCAGCCGGGAATCGAACTTGTCCTGCAGTGGCTGCAGATAGCTTCATAGGTTGTGTCTTAATCCCTTGTGCCACCAGGGAGGCCCCCTATTACTGAATTCTTAAACATTCACACCTGGGAAAACCTCTGGTAATGATGTCTATACACAAAGTGCTTGACCTTTAATATGATCCTCACATATTTTTCTTTCCTAGTCATCTATCAACACAGTTGGACCCCAAATATGTCACATAAAATGCTGATCAAAATCAAATTGAGATATCACCTCACACCTGTGAAATGGTTATTAGCCAAAAGATGAGAAAAAAAGTGTTGAAGAGAATGCAGAGAGAAGGATGGTGGGAATGTGAGTTGGAACAGTTCAATATGAAAAGCAGTATGGCTGTTATAAAAAAGAATACTAAGGCCTCTCTGGTTGGGTAGGAGTTAAAGACAGTGCTGTGAAGCTCTCACCAACCACTGCAGCACAAGTTTGATCCTCCACCGGCCAGGGAGCAACCCACATGGTGCAGCAGACCTCTCCTGTTTCCCCTCTGCTCCCTTCAGCTGTGTATTTCAGTAGATCTGCCTGTTCTGCTCCCCACTCCATCTCTGGTGAATCCTCTCACTCCCCACATCTCTGGCCTACACCCCAGTTCTTGTATGCATAAATAAATAAATATATATTTTTTTAAAAAGAATAGTAATATCATATGATCCAGTAATCCCACTTTTGAGTATTTACACACACACAAATATGAAAATACTAATTTGGAGAGAGGTATTAACCCCTATATCTATAGTAACAGTACATACAATAATCAGGAGTCACTGACAGATGATTGGATAAAGATTTGGTTTATATATACAATGGAATACTACTCAGGTATTAAAAAATAGTATGAATGGACCCAAAGAGTTTATGCTAAGTGAAATAAGTCAGATGGAGAAAGACAAACACTGTATGTTTTCACTCATATGTGGAAAATAAAGAAACAAGACAAATCAACAAACTGTAAAACTCTTAGAACTATAAGAAGGAAATTGATTATCAGGAGGGAAGGGGAAAAAAGAATAGTAAAGTGGATAAAAGGGGCCAATTATGTGGTGAAGGAATGAAACTTAATTTTTATGGTGAACATAATGTTGATTTAAAAGGCCATATACTTGAAACCTATATTATGGTATAAACCAATATTATTTCAATAATAAGTAAACACTAATGACCATAAACAATAAACACGTCCCAAAAAATGTGAGCATGGGAATATAGTCCCATGGGATGACAGATAAGTGATTAACATGGGTCTGGTTTCAGGTACCTTTATTTTCTTCTCGTTTGTCCATATATTTTATTCTATCATTAACTAATTGGAGGTCACCAATTAATGAATTAAGGCACTCATTCCTCTGGACTCCAGTAGGTCTGATCCCCATCAGTTCTCTATCGACTTCAGACCTGCGCAGGATATGATGTTGGTGCTTAACACCTAAACACCAGGATGAGGAGATATGGTGTAGAATGGGAATTCTTTATGAACACTCTTTTAATTTCCTGAGCCATTAAAACAAGAAAAATAATACTGGGAGTTGAAAGTGGCATTCATCAATAGCTGACTGAGTATCAGGGAGCATGTGGGCGCTCTCTCACAGCTTCTTGAGACCATCCTATCAGTTTCACTTTACAAATGTGGAAATCGAAGGTGAATCGAAGTTGAGAATTTCTTGTATTCCCATGGTGCTTTTTGAGGACTAACCATACATAACCAGAAGGAAGCCCAGCCCCGGGATATCTCCATTCCATTACAGGTTTTCCTGGCTATCTGAAAATAGAGCATTCCTATGAAACCCACTGGAAGGTGAAATGGCATAAAATCAAAGAAGCAATTACCATTAATCTACATGGAAAAATTTTCATCATCCTCAGACCCAAGACATAATCTACCAAACCATACCAATAACACAGAAAACCTAAAATCACACTATCATATAGTAAAGGCAGGAATGAGATGTTAGGTGCCCAGTCAGTATAAAGTAGTTCTGAGAAACAAGCTGGGAGGAACCACACTCTCTTCTTGCGGTACCACTGCCTCTAGAACCACAGCTGCAAAATAAATCTGAACACTATTTTTGTTTTTCATCTTTGATTGTAAAAGTAAAAGCCCTTTTTAGATTTATTTGGTTAGTGAGAACAAGTGTTTAGGTAAATCTTTCATAAGAGTGAAATGGTATAATGCATTCTATCTGCTGGGGAAAAACTGAGCAGAGGAATAGGAGAAAGAAGTAGTACAACTGTCCTAAGTGGGTAGCAACAATGCACTTGATTTTGTTATTTTTGTGGTGCTCCCTTGTGCAAGCTTAGGAAATAGTCTGCAGAAAAATACACTCGCAGTTTACCTGTTGATAATTTTAGTATAATGCAAGTTTCCATGAACTGTATACTCCAAGAGAAGATGTAGAGTGGGGAGTCAAAAAATTCACCAGACATGGCAGCTTTTTCTGGTCGCTGTGTCTGTGCAAGTGTATTCTTTTCTCTTCCTTTTCCTAATAAACATGTCCTTTTAAAATGTAAAAACAAAAACATTCCCCAGTCTTACTGATCCTACTATTATAAGTACACATCAGGTTTCTTCCCATTCTCACTGCTAATCATTAATCCAGGTTCAGGTGTAGTCCCTTCCTGCCCAGCTAACACTGGGGTCTGTTCCAGCTACCTCCCACTCTATGCTCTGTGTGACCCCATGGTTCATGGGACCCACCATGCTTATATGGTGGGGAACACATTTGCCTTTTCCCTAGGGGATACTCATTGGCCTAGGGAACCTGATGGAGAAATGCAAACGGAAATATCTTAATCCGGGATGCTGGAAATAAAATATTGCAGAGTAGAGGGAAAATTTTTGACAACTCTCAGATCCTATTGGTTATAATTATATATTCCACCAATCTCTATGGCCAATTCCTTAACTAAAAAGGAAATCTTTGCCCTCAAAAGATTGTTCTGAACCCTCCATCATTATAACACAGTGTCCTTTTTTAGATAATGAAACTGAGGTCAAATTAACTCAATTTCCTAGGTTACGCAAAACTTACTACTGTTCTTTGAGACATTTTTAAAGACACAGCAGAGCCTGGGAGCTCATCAGCAGATGATACAACCTGAGCATGTACAGAGGCAAATGACCTTAAATCTGAGATACCAAAAACAACAGAGGAGGGGGGCTAAGAAGACGTGAGGTAGTCCATTGACAGAAATTCAAAACTCCAGTTATCTGAAGAAAAGTCTCTTCATACTTCTCCTTGTATAAATTAGCCAGTGAATTTAAGCCAGGTCCACATGTCTTTGTCCCAATTTACTTTTTAGCCAATAAAATTGAACTCCTTCATTCTCAATCATACTTTCCAAAATCAACACAAACCTCTACCCTTTCCTAAATTGGGAGGCAGATTTGAGTTTTCCTCCTGCCTATTTGCCATTTAACTTGACATGAAGCTATTTTTCCCTCAAAACTTGGAGCCATAGTAATCAGCTTCTATGTGCCTTAAGCAGAGAGTCCATTGTTCAGTAACACATTTACATTTATTTATTGGTTGGTTATTGTTTTGTTCATCTATTCTTCAATCTGTATGCTTCATCCTACTCCCTAGTCTCTTAATACCTTGCAGATAGAATTTCTTTAGTTAGGAGGAGTCCAAGTTGACAATAGTATGGGGATTCTTAAGGGTGTTGGATTGACTAATAGAAAAAGCAGAAACCACAGGAGAAATAAACATGGGCTAGGAAGGAATTGGCTTATGTTTATTCAAACCTTTGTCTCCAATGCATACTGTTTTCATCGGCCTATCTATTAAAAATGCAAAACAAAATCTCTTACCCAGAAAGGATAGAGATGCAGAAACCTGGCGGCAGCTGTGCTTTTCTGGGTTCCCAGGGTCACAGTCCTCTAGACTTAGGGTGGGATCTCCCATAAGTGGCTGTGTGCATCTTCCCAGTGGGCACCAGCAAGGTCTGTTGGAGGAAAGCGTTGTTCAACCTTGGTGGACTCTCTCTCAAGATTCTGCAAATCCAGGGCCTCCCTGGTTGCACAAGAGGTTAAGCACAGCACTATGAAGCAATCTGCCACTGCAGCACGAGTTCAATCCCTGGCCAGGGAGCAACCCACATGGCACAGCAGACCTCTCCTATCTTACCTGCTGTTCCCCTCAGCAGTGTGTTTCGGTCAGTCTGCCTGTTCTGCTTCTCACTCTGTCTCTGGTGAATCCTCTCATGCTCCACACCTCTGGCCTATTCCCCAGTTCTTGCATGCATAAATAAATAAATCTCTTTAAAAAAAAAGTTTCTGCAAATTCAGATGCTTTGAAAGGCATGCCTCACCCTATTTCCTCTTCCTAGAAGGTTCTCTCCCTCATTTGTCATATGGAGACTTCAGATTTTGTTTTAAAAAAAAAAAACAACTCTAATAATTTTTCTAGATTAACACTTAAATTTAAATGGACTTAAAATTCTCATAGGACAGAAAATTTCTGCCTCAAAGTAGTTCCATAGCTTCTGAAACCTAAAGAATTTAGGTTAATAATGTTATTTCCACCAGGGGGGTATTTTCCTTCTGTTGGTGTAGATAAAAATCTTTAATTTCCATTAAGCAGCATTTCCTAACAAGTAATAGATATAGTACCATGGTTGGTACCTGAAATGATTTTAAATTTTAAAGGCTACATATATATCTGAATGTAAAGTAGCAGGTAGGTTTTTTATAATCATACAAATTTACAAAAATGCAAACTTATGTCTCTAAAACTCTACCTTTTATCTTAGTTCTCATTCTGCTTACACTAGAAATCATCATCTAGTCACATCCCGGGTTTATTGTTTATTAAGAAGTATAAAAACTCTATGTGTAACTTAGTTGTGTAAATATATAAGTAACACTATAACAAAAAAAAGTTTAAGTCAACTGTAGGAAAACAAAGGAATATTTTCCCCTCAAATGGGGTCATATATTACAAACATTGAAACATTGGACTAGATAGTATTCACAAGGCAGCACAGTTCTGGCAATGGAAACATCTTGCTCTTAAACTTCCAGACTTATTTTGGTTGACTATTTTGAAGACAATTAATTACTTACCCCCTTGGAGTTTGGGCTGGAGAGTCTTATGAAGCACTCCCACATTCCTACCATCCCCTCGTCATGTGACTTGTGCACAAGTGCAAATGTCTGTCAGTGTGGTGAATGCCCAAACAGAAAGCCCTGGGCAGGGCCCGGACACATAGTGAGGAAGTGGCTGGAGTGAGGGCCTTTTGTTAGGTCACAGGAGGAACATTCAAGGACAGAGCATTCATCTCTAACAGGTTCCTGCACCCCATTTGGCTTTTCTTTTTGCCAGATAGGAAGAGTTGATTTGCTCAAACATACGTGTTCTTGGATTTAGGAAATGTTCTCAATTGTTCAAATTCCTTGAGAAAAGCTTTTTACACGTGTGTAATCTCTGCCCAGCTTTCATATTTACATATGCTTGTAGATTGATGTCATTTTTATACCTTTTATTTGATTACAACTTTTTTCTTTTCTTTCTTTCTTTTTTTTTTTTTTTTGAAGCAGTAAGCTCCTTAAAGATCGGTCCCACTTTTTTTTTTTTTTACATTGTTTATAAACTGCATAACATGAGGGTCAAAGGATGGTTTGATATACTCTTAGACACAGATAAATAACTCAGTGCTTTCTGGAAAACCTTTAAAATATTGGAAATGTGCGCTTTACAAAACCTCCCTAGAAATAATTTGATCAATAATACAAATTTTTCAAGCGATGGAGTAGAGATTTTTCCTACAAGACAATCAGATAGGTTCTTGGGAACTACAACTTTAAACAAAACAGTGCAAGAACATAACTAATTTAACTATAGGCTAATTGACTTAAAGAAGAGTCAAGTTCTAATGGCATATTTCTGGTCACAAATGCATCACCAAACCTCTAAATCTAGACCAAAATCACTTAGTATTGAATAAAAATTTGTATTCATTCATTCACTCATTTTCCAACCTTCTTATTGAGTTCAAGGTCTTCAGAACTTCTCCCAGCCCTCAGGAAATAAGGCAGGATCCAACCTTGGACAGACACCCTTCCATCACACACACCTGTGTGTCTGCACACACACACACACACACACACACACACACACACACATACACACACACTGATGGGGCAATATTGACACATGCCAATGAATCTCATGTGCACATCTTTGGGATGTGGCAGGAAAATGATGTCTTCCAAAAAAACTCATATAGAATGCAAACTCCACAAAGACAGTGGCCCTGACCAGGAATCAATTTCTTTTTTTCTCATCAAGGTCATAACAAAATAACAGTATTGAAGAACCTGGTGTAGTTAAGGAAAACTACTCATCCTTTGCCTTTTTCTAGGGCAGTAGTGAGGAAGAATTCCCTAGCGTTTGACACTACTACATTTTATCCACCAACTCTGTCACCATAGTACCATGACTTATTTCAGTTTTCAGTGGACATAACATAACACTCTATACTGGGTTCTATTAATGAAATATTTTACTTTCAAATATATTACAAACATATCTCTATAGGTTAAAAATAATGGCTTTCCCCTGTCCCCCATTCTAGGTTAATGGCACACCAAAGAATTAGAAGCAGTTGTTTTTTTTTTTTTTAATTATTACTGTATGGTGTTGTACTGGGTTAATGCAACATTGTGTATGAATCAGAAGTATAAGCTCTCACTCTTCAGATTCACATTACAACACCACACCTACCACCAACATACTCATAATCCGCCACCACAGACCATTGGGTCCACAACCCTCTCAGTTTGCCATCCCCTACTCTGCCTCTCTGGTAGTCTCAACTATACATATAATCATATTTCTAGAATTTGTTTTGATTTACTTATAGCTCTATTTTTTATTGAGGTAATATAGGCTTACAACACTGTACATGCTTCAGAAGTATAGAATCACAGATCTTCAGATGTTTGTTACCACACAACACCAAACATACAGGCACACGTAATCCATTGGATATCCTGCATACTGTGTTCTTCACCCTCCACTCCTGCTCTGGTAGCCTTAATTATAGTCAGAATTCTAAGAATTGGTATTGGCTTAGTTTTGTCTGACTCTTCATTTTGTTTCTTCATTCTGTTTCCACATTTAAGAAAATGCATCCAGTATGTCTTTGTATTTCTGACTTTATTCACTTAGCACTATCCCTCACCTTAATGCATATTTTTTCAAATGGCAAGAATTCATGCTTTATATAGCAGTGTAGTATTCCATTTCATATATTCACCACATCTTCTTAATTCACTCATCAATTGATGGGTGTTTGGATTGTTTCCATAACTTGGTAATTATAAATAGTGCCACAATGAATACAAGAGTGTGAGAACAAGACTGCACATATCCTTTCTCATTAGTGTTTTTACATGTTCAGGTAGATACATAGGAGTAGAATTGTTGGTTTGTATTGTAGCTCTATATTTAATATTTTGCAAAACCTCCACACTGTTTTCCACAGTGACTAGACTAGTCTACATTTTGACCAATAGTATACAAGGGTTCCTTTTTCCAGCATCCTTGCCCTCATTTGTTTCTGGTCTTTTTGATATGGGCCATTCTCATAGGTGTGAGGTGGTATCTTATTGTGATTTTGATTTGATTTCCCTGATGATAAATGATGATGAGCGTTTTATCAAGTGTCTGTTGGACATACATATGTCTTCTTTGGAGAAATATCTTTAATCCTTGATAAGGTAACACCAAGATTAAAGAAATACAGGGAACTACATCAGGAGGCAGCATCATTATTTTTAGAAAATATGTATATTGGTATGTAAATTATCTCAATAAAGTTTGAGTAAATAATTTAGTAGCATTTATTTCTCTCTTATAACATATAGTATGATTTTTCTTTTTTTCTGAGCAATTATTTTTTTTATTTTATATAATTTTTACATCTTTTTTCATCATTGCACAATGTATGCATTTTCATTTTGGTTATAGTTCCCATACAATTGCACCCCCCCTCCCTATTTTGACTCTAGTCCTTCCTTTCCCCACCCTTCCCTCCTCCCTGCTGTAGTATGTCTCTGGTTTATAGTTGCTTGTTGATTTTGATTATTACTTTGCATTGATTAGTCTTTTTCCTGGTCTCTTATTTAGGTTTTCTAAATTCCTGCTATGAGTGAGACTTTCCAGTATTTTTCTTTTGCTTTCTGACTTATTTCACTGAGCATGATCCCTTCTAGCTCCATCCATGTTGCTGAAAACTGCATGTGTTTACCATTTTTGATTGCTGAGTAATAGTCCATGGTGTATATGGACCACATCTTCTTGATCCAGTCATCTTTTGGGCATTTGGGTTGTTTCCAAAGCTTAGCTATTGTAAACAGTGCTGCTATAAACTTAGGCATGCAGGTGCCCTTTGGAATTACTGTTTCTGTGTCATTTGGGTAAATACCTAGGAGTGGAATTGCTGGATCATATGGAAGTTCTATGTTTAGTAAGTCAAGAAATCTCCAACAGCTCTCCATAGTGGTTGGACCAGTTTTCACTCCCACCAGCAGTGCAGGAGAGTTCCTTTTTCTCCACATCCTCGCCAACATTTGTTGTTGCTAGTTTTTTTAATATGTGCCATTCTCACTGGTGTAAGATGGTATCTCATTGTTATTTTGATTTGCATTTCCCTGATTACAAGTGATGTTGAACACTTTTTCATATGCCTGTTGGCCATTTGCATTTCTTCTTCAGAGAAGATTCTTTATAGTTCCTCTGCCCATTTTTTGACTGGATTATTTTCTTTGTTTTTGTTGAGTCTCATCAGCTCTTTTGTAATTTTTGTGATCAGTCCTTTATCGTTAGCATTGTGTACAAAAATGTTCTCCCAATTGGTGGGGTTTCTCTTTGTTTTGGTTATTGTCTCTTTTGCTGTGCAGAAGCCCTTTAATTTGATGTAGTCCCAGCTGTTTATCTTTGCCTTCACTATCACTGCTTTGGGTGATGTGTCTGTAAAGATGTCTTTGATGTGCATTTCATGTAGTGTTTCGCCTGTATTTTCTTCTATGTATTTTATGGTTTCAGGTCTTATGTCTAGTTCTTTAATCCATTTTCAGTTGGTTTTTGTGCATGGCGTGAGGTAGTGATCAAGCTTCATTCTTTTGCATGTAGCGACCCAGTTTTCCCAGCACCATTTATTGAACAAACTTTCTTTGTTCCAGTGCATATTCTTTGCTCCTTTGTCAAATATTAGTTGACCATAAATCTGTGGGTTTTTTTCTGGATTTTCTATTCGATTCCATTGGTCTGTGTGTCTGTTCTTGTTCCAATACCATGCAGTTTTGATGATTATGGCTTTGTAGTATATTTTGAAGTCTGGGTGTGTGATGCCTCCATTCCCTTCTTTTTTTTCAGAAGAGCTTTGGCTATTTGGGGTTTTTGGTGATTCCATATGAATTTCATCAATAATTGTTCTATTTCTTTGAAGAATGTCATTGAAATTTTTATTGGAATAGCATTGAATCTGTAGATTGCTTTTAGTAGGATGGCCATTTTGATGATGTTAATTTTTTCAATCCATGAGCCAAGGATGTCTTTCCATTTCTTTGTGCCTTCTTCTATTTCTTTTAACAGTGTTTTATAGTTTTCTTTGTATAGGTCCTTTACCTCTTTTGTTAGATTTATTCCCAAGTATTTGATTTTTTTTGTTTCGGTAACAAAAGGGATGTTTTCTTTAATTTCTTCTTCTTCAGATTTATTGCTTGTGTAAAGGAAGGCTACTGATTTTTGCATGTTGATTTTGTATCCTGCCACTTTATAAACTGATTAATTAGTTGAATTGGTTTTTCTGTGGAGTTCTTGGGGTTCTCTATGTATATTTTCATATCATCTGCAAATAGTGATAGTTTGACTTCTTCTTTTCCTATTTGGATTCCTTGTATGTCTTTCTCTTGTCTTATTGCTCTGGATAGGACTTCCAGTATTATATTGAAAAGCAGTGGTGAGAGTGGACATCCTTGCCTTATTCCAGATCTTAATGGAAATGCTTTCAGCTTTTCACCATTGAGAATGATACTGGCTGTTGGCTTGTCATATATGGCCTTTATGACGTTGATGTATATTCCTTATATCCCAAGAATTTCAAAAGCTTT